CCCCGGGCCAGTTTGAGGCCTCCCCCCGCTCTCCCCGGGGGGGGGTTATAGACCCCCCGGACACCGCCATGGCCCAGGGGGGGACGAGGGGAGGCGGGGGCGGCCCGGGGGGGGGCCTGACGCCGGTTTTTCCGTCTCTGGTTGCAGGTTCCCGCTTGGATGATCCAGAGGGACGCAGGAATCCACGCAGAATGAGGAGGTGAGTTGAGTGTGGGGGGTGTCCCCAGCTCCCCCTTCCCCATCTCCCTCATCATAATTAACCGAATTCCGCGTCACGGGCCCGGCCGGGCGCAGAGCCAGCGCTTCCCCGCCACGACTCCAAACTTCTGGGGGTTTTGTTTTCTTTTTTCCTTCCCTTTTAGGTGACAAATGCAGTCGATCACCCATTTTTGACACAACCGCCGGGAAAACTGGATGGCAGCCCCCCAGAAAGCTCACCTCATCCAGTAAGAAGTTTTTTTTATTACTGGGCTTTACTGGGAATAACTTCCAGTTTAAAAACGAACTGGGAATGGTGGCGTGCGTTGGTTTGCTGTGATAACTGCGAGCAGAGCCGCGAAATTCATCTCCCGCGTGTTTTCCGGCGACACCTCGTTAGTGCCGTAATCCTCGTTGTCTTAACGATTGCTCCACTTCTTTTCCAGCTGGATACCGGCGCGGGGGTCCCCTCTCCGATGATCCTCACCTTGGCTTGTCCTCAGAGCTCCCAATTACTGGGATTTAACTGGGGATACTGGGATGACAATGGTTGATGCCAGCCTCGTAATAAATAACCAATTTCTCACTGGGTTTTTGGCACGGTGTGGTAATGGGGGAGGCAACACGCGCTGAGGGTCAAGGTTGGCCCAAATTTGGGCTTCCCCAGCCCTGTGGCCACCTCACTGTCACCCATGGGAGGTGATGATGACACCGGGTCCTCCCTGCGCCTGCGCCGTGGCCTCGGCGATCGTTGGTGGTGCAGGAAGCTGGCGCGGTTGAAGGGGGGAAGTGGGTACCCGGCGGGTGCGGCATGGCAGAGCTGGAGGGTCCCGAATTTGGCAAAGCCGATTTTGTCCTCCTGGATGAGGTGACCATGGAGCAGTTCCTGGCGAACCTGCGCCTGCGGTACGGGCCGGGGGGATGCCGGGGGCGCGGGGGGGGTGAGGCTGGGGACACCCTGAGGCACCGCCCCAGCATCCCTGGGGCTGTGCCTGGGTGCTGGTGGTTCCCCGGGTGGGTGCTGCGCCCACTGTGGGACTCTACGGCATCGCCCGCTGTGGGGACGTGGGCTGTGGCATGTCACAGCGATGGGGGGCAACGGGGACCCTGAGTCCCATGGGGGCTGCGGAAGCGCCCAGCCCCAAACCCCAGCTCCACAGGAAGCATCTGGGCGGTGCCGCACTGCAGGAGGGGGGAAACTGAGGCACATCCCCCCAGCTTCCTGCCTGTTCCCGCGCCGGCAGGTGCTGCCTGCAGGAAGAGCCACTGCCCCCCCGCTCCCCCTGGGGCG